GGAAAGTATTAAAGTGGTTCTTTAACTCTTTGCAAAGATTTATTTTAGTCTCAGAGTTTATAGAAGTGTCAATTTAGTCCGCAATTTTTTTAATATGTGTTAAACTAGTTCCCAATGAGAACTATTTTAACCCATATTAAAATAGTCTGGAGACTAATTTATCTTTTTTTATAAATTCTGGGACTAAAATACCTCTATCTAAATAGTCTACTCACATAAAAATTTTTACTTTAATTAAAAAAATGTCTTTTTTTTTTTTTTTTTGCTAATGTTCATTTTAGTTGATCTAGTGACCATTTCCATCATCATCTCCGCCATTACTCTCTACCTTCTCTTCCCTCTTCGAGTTTAGAGAGAGAGAGAGAGAGAGAGAGAGTTTTAAAATCAAGCCTAACAAACATGACTAGCATCCAACCAAACAACCCTTGCATTGCTAAAATGTACTCATTTTGAAAATATTCAACCGATTGTTCTTTAGCGAAAGTGCTAGGTAAGGATTTAAGATATTTCATATTGTGGTGCTACCCTGCAATGCGTTATCATTATACTTGAGACATTCTAAAACATTCTTAGGAGGTACTTAGACTCACAGTTATATTGTCACGGGACACTGTGCCCTGGATGCTGGATGTCATTTTACAATTCTAATCTTGTTTATGGCTCAATTAGACATTCTAAAACATTCTTAACATTTTTATGGCTCAATTAGGCTGCCAAAAATTTGTAAATCCTAAGCTTATATTTGCTTGTAATTTTCATTTTATAATTCATGTTTATATCATAATTGAATGTGTAGCACATTTGTTAAAAATAAGATGAAAATTTTCAATTCAAGTAAAAAAAAAAAAAAAAAAACACATTAATTGGGCAATGGGCATCTTACTTTTACTATGATTTAAAATACATGTGTTTCATTTATATTTGATTTAAAGATGGAAATTATATGTTAATTTTAGATTTTTTTTTATTTTAAGGGTGTTAAAAGTGATTGAACTTGACCGAGTTGGTGATTTAATCATGTTTAGCTTATTCAAAACATGTTAAATTTGTTGCTGAAATGAGTAATTCAAAGAGATTAAAATAAAGAATATTAATTATTTAGTAAATTTTAAAAATATACTATTAATAATATAAGTCATTTTAAGTTCATAATGAGTCAATCATGATGAAAAATATATGTTCATATTCATTTAAGGTTTAATTAACCAATCGAATTAAACATAAACATTTTAACAAGTTGTACACAAGCTTATTATTCATAAATATGTATATATGAATAATTATAAAAAAATAATCTCTTAATTATAACCCAATCACCTGGTTTTGCACCGATCCAATTTAGACGACATAAAGTTGATCAGCGTAAAAGCCACAACACAGATGATCCCGGTTTAGCCAATTGACCAAGATTGATCCAATTCAATAATCCTAGGGGTGCCATTTGGAATTAAATTTTAATAGTCAGATTAAATTGAAACACAACCAAACTCTGAAATTAAATTGATTACATCAACATAGAGTTGGGAGACCATTTTGGTATTTAACCCTATCTATTGATCCATCCGTGTGTATCCGTATAAATGTATACATATACAGTAAAATGGTCTGAGAATTATTAGGAACACAATTAGAAACCCCCATCTATTTAGTATGAATAGTTAGATGTTGGAATACAAAAATCAATTTGAGCCAGCAAAGCCTCATTTACTCTACTAAGAAACGTATGTTTCCATGTGAGCTGTTCATTTCACTATACAAATGTATCTGAACTAGCTGTACAGGTTTCAAAATTATGCTAAAAAAAAAAAAATAATAATAATAATAAAAAAGAGTTCTTTTTATCTACTCTACTTGTTTGATCAAATTGCCAGTGTACCTTCAACAAATTCATCATCATCCGAATCAGAAGAATTCAGAGATTTCGTCTTGGACATGACTCTTGAGAATCCATAACCCAGCGATCCACCTCTTGCCTCACATATCTGCAGAAATTTTCATTTGATCAATCACTAACCGTTCATTCATTCATTTTTGCTGCATACAACAGATAATCTTCAACAAAACTGTTCAGATGTCGCGCATCAAATGAAAATGTAATGAACGCAAATCATGCTCATGAAAATTTAATCTCATAAAAACAAGGTGGATATCCGCCCAAATTTGATCAAGATGTGTTTCAAAACCACAGGAATCGCTTCAAAATATTGCAATATATCGATATGCAATTAACTTCTATATCAACTTCATCTCAAAATAAGTTCAAGAATTTAAAGACCCATTTGTAAATCTTCCATTTTTTTAAAGGCATATCAGCAAAAATATAGATATGCATGCCTAATGATAGGCTATCAACCTATCCTTGCATACCTCAGTGAGCTCAGAGAGGTGACGGGCTCTGAATTCATTAATAACTGTTGCAATTTCGGAAGTTGGCAGCTTGGCCTGCAGGAAAAACAGGGAGAAATAATGATTATAAAACAATTAAAAATGGTGCTTAGAAGAATCAAAAGAAATTCGATTTTAGCAATTTTCTGCTATTTTACCTGAGCATAGTGTTCTTATGTATTTGCAATGTCTCTGGTACAACCTTATGACATTCCAGGTATTTAGATTTTGTTATGAATAGATCTAGTAAACTTCGCAATAATTAATTTGGAAAATTTACATGCATGCCACATAGTTCTTATGTATTTACATATTTAACACCTACACTTTGATATTTACATTAATAACACTTCACCTGTGCATAAAAAATTGTATTTCACTTTTAGAAAGTTAATGGTAGTAGTATTTTGATGTGATAAGGATGATGAGTGTTAGAGTCGTAAAAAATGAGAGTTTAGATATTAGATATGCAAATACATAAGAATTGTACGTAAAAACAAATGATGATCATGAGTTTACTATAGATCTCAGGTTGCAACTCACCGCAGTTGCTCCTGCTTTCTCCAGATTAATGCCATGGTCAACATCATGAGCTCGGACGAATGTCTTCACATTGGGGAAATATTTGCTAAGAGCCCACACAGTTCTGTAATATAATTTGCACCAGGTGTATCCAATGTAATTGCAGCAGCACAAGCTCTCTCAGCCCCAACTTTGTGTAAGACCTAAGAAACAATTGAGAAAGTACTTTGACTTAATGTGATTCAACATTTGTGAAATTTCAAAATTAAACTAAAAAATTCTCGACTGACCTCTCTACTCCCAGCATCTCCAAAATATACAGGTAAGTCAAGAGCACGCCCAACTGCAACCCGATCACTGAAAAATGCTATAATAAGTTAGCCGTTGGCTTCTAGAAGTTCTATGAAGGCTTTATTTGGTGCAGATATGGTGGAAGTTTCTATGAAACAAATGACAGTTTGTGTGTAACGTTTGATCGAACTTCCCTTAATGCAGTTAAAAGGTAGTTTTTGTGAATAGTTGCAGCACCACTCCATTAGTGGAAGTGGGCTAAATCAACATCAAAATTGGATGTGAAAAGTGAACTGTACCATACAAAAATATAAAACATATAAATCTTGAAACAAACACTGTCATTGCTGGTCCCAAGCCCGGATGTGAAAAGTGGAGGGTTGTGTTAGGTAGTCGACAGTCAGCGTAAAACTTGTTGAAAAAATGAAAAAATCATGACTTGTCGAAAAAAATCATGACATGAATCCATTTGATCATTGTGTAAGTGCAAGGGTGTTCCCTGTAAGCGACGCGCTGTATAACATGAATACAGTGAAAAGTGTGCAAGGGCCGCTACACCGGCGCTCGGGCGGCGCTCGGGTGTAGTATTAAATAAGCAAAAGTTCTTACATTACAGACGAATACAGATAAAGAAATTAGTTCATGAAACTAATGAAACTAATATTATGATAGGATCTTAAAATATAGGTACTTTCAATGGTAAATTAATGTAATTAGTTGATATTATGATTCATAGGAAAATTAATATCTTATTTATTCAAGAAACTAAATGAGTTGGAGAAAAGGCTAAGGAGATTGATAGTTTAAGTTTTAAACTTTGGTACTCTGGTAAAAGTCCCAATAGAAATTGTGCAGGTATAATTATTGATAAGAGTTTAAAAGATAATGTTGTAAAAATTAATAGAGTAGGTGATAGAATTATAATCCTTAAGATTATTATTGATACTAAAATTTTTAATATTATAAGTGCTTATGCTCCTCAAGTAGGTTTAGATACATGGTCTAAAGATAAATTGTCTACTAAAGATAAATTTTGGAATGACTTAGAAGACTTAATACAAATGATACCTCTTGAAGAAAAAAAATTTATTGGAGGAGATTTAACTAGAGATGTCGGTAGAGTGATAGAAGACTTCAGATATACTGATGGTGGCTACGGTTTTGGCGTAACTAATGAAGAAGGTAGAGTATTTTAAATTTTATTTTAGCGTATGATTTTGTTATTACTAATACTTTATTCAAGAAAATAGATGAACATCTTATTACTTATAAGAGTGGATCTAATAAAAAATAAATTGATTATTTTCTTATGAGAAGAAGAGATCGTCGAGATGGTAAAGATTGTAAGGTCATTCCAAGTGAGAATTTAAGTACCCAACATCGTTTATTAGTTCTAGATTTTAAGATGGAGAGTTGTAAAATAAAGAATATTAAGACTCATCATCGTAGAATTAGACTGGGGAATCTAAAAGACAAAAAAAAAATTTTTTACGAGTAAAATTTAAGATTTCAAAATTTGGGATGTTCATGAAGAAGCAAATGTTATGTAAGATAAAATAACAAATACTATCAAACAAGTAGCAAAAGATGTGCTTGGAGAGTCAAAAGAAAATTTTTTTAAAAAATAAAAATAGTTGGTGGTGGAATAATAATGTGCAAGAAAAGATAAAATATAAGAAGTTATGTTATAAAAGTTGGTTTAAATGTAAAAGCTTACAAAACTGAAAAAAATATCAAACGGCCCGCAAAGAGTCTAAATGAACAATTCGTGACGCTAAAACTTTTGTTTTTAATGATCTTTATAATATATTAGATACTAAAAAGGGTGAAAAATATATGTATAAACTAGCCAAACAAAGAGAAGAAAAGTAAAGATTTAACTCAAGTAAAATGCATTAAACATAAAAATCAAACAGTACTTTTCTTAGAAAAAGATATTTAACATAGGTGAGTGAGTTATTTTAGTTATTTTGATAAACTTTTTGATAAACTTTTTAATGAAGTTTCTGAAAATACGATCGACCTTAGTGATCTTAATATCGTGAATAATAACAAAACATTTCATTTTACAGCCGCATTAGTAAAAAAGAAGTTGATAAGACTTTAAAGAAAACCAAGGGTGGAAAGTCTGTACGATCTGATGATATCCCAATTGAAGCGTGGAAATATTTATAAGATTTGGGTGTTTCTTGGCTTACTAAACTCTTTAATATTATATTAAAAACTAAAAAGATGCTTGAGGAGTAGAGGAAGAGTATTTTGGTCCCCATTTTTAAGAATAAAGGGGATGCACAAGAGTGTGCAAATTATAGAGGAATTAAGTTGATGTGTCATACTTTAAAATTATGGGAGAGGGTAATTGAACATAGGTTAAGACACATTACAAAGATTTTTCATAATGAATTTGGATTTATGTCGGGCAGGTCCACTAAGGAAGCTATACATTTATTAACAGGTTTGATGGAGAAGTTCAGAGATAATAAGGAGAATCTACATTTGATTTTTATAGATTTAGAAAAAGCTTACGATAAGGTTCCAAGAGATATCCTTTGGAAAGTTCTCGAGAAGAAATGTGTTGATATGACTTACATTCAAGTCATTAAAGATATGTATACTAGAGCTGTTACTTGTGTTCAAACTGAAGGAGGATTGACAAAATATTTTCCTATTTCTGTTGGATTACATCAGGGATCGGCTTTAAGCCCATATCTTTTTTGGTTTAGTTATGGATGGTTTTACTGCACATCTACAGGAGGATGTACCTTGGTGTATGCTTTTTGCTGATGATATTCTTCTCGTGGATAAAACGAGAGAAAAAGCCCAGGAAAAACTTGAATTATGGAGGTCTACATTGGAGTCTAAAGGCCTTCATTTAAGTAGAACTAAAACTAAATACATGGAATGTAATTTTAGCAGTAGTAGCTCTAATGACAGAAGTGTGACTTTGGGTGATCAAATTATTAAAAGGTGTGAAAGTTTTAGATATATTGAGTCTGTTGTTCAAAGCAATGGCGATATAATGGGGATGTTAATAGTAGAATTCAAGTTGGTTGGTTGAAGTGGAGGAATGCTTCGGGCCTTTTGTGTGATAGAAAAGTACCGCTAAGACTGAAAGGAAAATTTTATAAGACGGTGGTGAGACCTGCAATGCTCTATGGCGCTGAATGTTGGCCTTTAAAAGAGAAGCATAATAATAAGTTAAGTGTTGACGAGATGAGAATGATTAGGTGGATGAGTGGCTTTACACTTGAGACAGAAATGAATATATCCGTCATAGAGTTGGTGTAGCTCCTGTGACAGACAAAATTAGAGAAAGTCGTCTTAGATGGTTTGGTCACATTAAACGTCAGTCATCTGATGATCCGATTAGGAGAGTAGATATTTTAGATTCGACTTGTGTTAAGAAAGGCAGATGTAGACCTAGGAAGACGAGCTTATTGTATAAAAAATGATCTTAATTTACTAGAACTAAATGAAAATATGACACTAAATAGGACGTAGTGAAGAAAAATGATTCATGTAGCCGACCCCACATAGTGGGATTTAGGCTTTGTTGTTGTTGTTGTATATAAATCTTGAAATAAATTTTTTTCAAAAAAAAAAAAATTTTGCCGATATAAGCCCACAGACAAAAACGTCCAAAATCATGCTACCGTGAGAACCTTTTCTTATACAAGGAATAAATTATTGAAACAATTTGTTACATCTGCTTCCAAGATCACACATTTGCAACGTCCGATATTGAGTCAGCCGCTTATTTCACAAACAGAAACTATGGGAAACATGTTTTTTTTTTTTTTTTCTCGAGAAATTTGAGAGCCACAACTCAATTACATTAAAATTAAAAAATTGAGTACACAGTGATCAACCAAAATGAGCTATCAAACCAAGTGTAAAGTTGAATGTGCAGCTTAGCAAAAAATATAGAAGCTATAACATGAAAATTAAAAACAGCTACCGTGGAAAATCATAAAACCACCAAACAAAGATAATTCGAGTGGAAAGGACCGAGGGAAAGGAAAGATCTTAAAACTAAAAAGTTCTCTCCATACCCATACACAGCTGGGCAACCAAAAACATCGTATCTGAATCATACATAGACATAGTATGTGAAAAGGCTGCACACACGGCTCACTAGCAGAGAGAATTTTCACATACTCCCTAAAGTCCACCAAAATCCACAAATCAGAAATTAATCGAACTCATAAAATCAATCCAATTTAAAGGCAAAGCAAGCACTAAATGAAGGTGATGCTATTAGAGCATATAACCCGCTCCAAAAATCTCGAACACATGCAGAAACCAAAACATATATTAATATGGATCCCAACAAAACACATAACCTGGAGTCATCACCTTACTGAGCCCATAATTCTATGAAAACAAATGCAGTAAAAAGCAAGATGTGGAATGGATCCAAATAGAGAACAGCAATGCCGAAAACCCAAAGAAAATAGCCCAGAAACCAAAATAAACAGCCAACCACAAAAACATAAAGAGCTGAGACAGATATGGGATAAACAGAAAAAAAAAAAAAACCTTGTCAGATTATTTTGCTATAATAACTTTCACGATTCGGGTGAGTTGCAGACTCATAAGGCCAATTCTTTTAAGTTTTGCATAAGCCAAGTTTAATACATTTGAAAATTAATGTACAGTTTGAGGGCAAACTAAATGGAACTCACCTCCTTGAGCAACTTCTCATTTCTTTCACCCCAAATATTATAAACAAGAGAAGTTATGATAGCAAATACAACCTATTAATAATATATAGTGCTCTTGGTTAGAATTAGCTTCCAGAATTTCAAGCATGAAAACATGGTAGGGCCCACCTGACTATATCCATCACATATGAGCACCCAAATAAGAGATGAACAATTTTCTTTTTCAAGATTGCAATACGCATAAATATTTTAGATGATGAAACCTTTATTCATACCATTGACAGCTGGTTTCAAGTGAGAATTTAAGAGAATCCATTGAAACAGATATGTTTTGAATAAGTTGCTTCAAGTTTCAACCCCCAAACTAAAGGAGTTTGGGCATACATCCTTTAGAAGGCCCATGCTAATTAGAATGGGGCTTATCTTTTGAGCCATAGAGTTCCGTTCGATATTTGTAATTAGATTGATTTGAAAATTGGTAGCTAAATTCTCTATTTACTAGTTCCTGTAAAGTAAGGTTTATAGCCTTGGCCTGTAGAACATGCCAAAATGTGGGACTTAAAATTCATCATTGAATCAAACCAAAATAGCGAGTCTTATGATCTCACACAATAGGAAACCATTGATTAAAATAGTTTAATATTGATTTTCATAGTAACACATAGTTTAACACACATAGTAAGGTGATGAGTCAATAGGACACTTGATCAATTGGGAGGTGTAAAAATTGAACTCATCTTTCGCATGTTTGCTTGTCTACATTGAAAGTATTTAAGTTGGGTTTCTAACGGCATTAGTCTTTGAGGTAACCCTTCACAAACATTATTGATACCGGTTAGCAAAAGGTCTATTGACACCTTAGGTCTACTAGTGCATTTTTCAGGGTACTTTGAAGTTTGAGATCAATTCAATTGGTGAAGTTTTATCAATGTCATAAAACATTTAAGGTAATGACAAAGTGAGAGCAGAAATGGATGATATTTTCCCTTGATTTGTTTTAATATTCTCATGTCAACGATATTAAGAGGTGTGTTTAATAGATGTCATGGAGCATAATGTGACTTGTGTCATGGGAAAGGCTATGGAACACACTCACAAAGATTGTATGATGGAGTGTGAAAAGACTTGTACCATTAAATTTAAATAGGAAAATATTAATATTTCATGTTGTTTAGTCATGAAATGCTAGAAATGAATGATCTATCCAACAAATAAATATCTTTTCTTATTTTGCTAATTATCTCATGTCAAGATGGATGCAATGTTCAAACTGACTCATGGTACAGTGGTGCTCGACTTACATCATAAGAAAAGCTATGAGATGAACCTATCAAATACCATTGTGGGGTGTGGTGTGACTCACATTCATAATTTTCAAGCAAGAGATATTCAACTAGTTTGCAAATAGAAAATAATTCCCCTTATTTGTTAGTGATTTTCTCATTTCAAGAAGGTTGGGTGTCTTCGACAAATACCATAATGGAGCACGATATGATTTATGTCGTAAAAAATACTACAAGATGTACCCTTCTGGATGTCATATTTAGTTGTGATGTTGCTTTCTTTGTTAACGTTCAAGAGAGAGATTTTGAGGTCCTATAACTGAGACATTTGCTCTTACAGTGACTACAAACAATATTGCTAGATGGAAGAGTAAAGAAGCTTAAAATTGAGTGCAAGAAAAAAATAAAGTTAAGAAGATGCGCATTATAAAAGAGTTATGAGTGAAGATTGTTAGCTTAAGGATTGCAGGACTCAATTGTGAGCCTTTTGTGGGAACGAAAAAAATGACAAGGAGCAAGAAACGTCATGAGCAAGAGATTACTGAAGTACAATACATGAGATTTAAAGGAGATCAAGGGGAGTAGATGGGAATTGTAGGTTTCATTTTCTTAACCTCAAGATCCATCAAGATGATCTCATTCTCCTCCTAACAAATAATCTCTATTAACATAAATTTGAGAGTTAATTCCATCGATAACACTTGTATCTACCAAGATCCATCAAGATGATCTCATTCTCCTCCTAACAAATAATCTCTATTATCCATCGATAACACTTGTATCTACCAAGAGGCCATCAAGCACTTTTGTCACCTCTTGGGACTCGAGATAGGCTGCACTATGCAATCTTATCATGACCTGCGAAAGATCATCCTCAATCGTGAATTAATTCTAATAATTGAGTGTGTATTGAACTTCATGAAACAATTGCCAAATGATGTTGTCTTCCATAGAAGAAGCACCTACAAAACTTGATTTGCCTCCATATCCTTGTCTTAGATTAACCACTTGTACTTAGCATCCTCCATCACGCAACAACAAAGACCATAATTGCACCTTTGCTTCTTTCACAACATTGAGAAAATTAGATTCCACCATAACCCGCACAGCTAAGTCGAGATCATCTTCATCCTTACTCGACCTTCAATGCTAAAACCTCCATTATTACAAGCAATCCTATCACAAACTCCATCTCTAGTTTACAGTCATAAGAGATTAAGTTCCCCTCATGGTATTCCTCTCAATCCCCAACTCCTAGCACCCCTTTTATCTTTATTAATCACAAATAAAAAATCACAAAAATCCTAGAATGTAGTACAAAGAACCTTTTCGAGCTTCACATATACCATTAAAGCTAGTGGTGACTCACTTGATAACTCTGCCAATGATATACTTCTATTATATTGGTCTCACCCCATTCTAACATAATGCAGGGGCTAAGCTCACCCAATTCCGTCCATGATTATCATTTTGTATGATAGCATCACCATGCTCGTCAACAACCACAACGCCAATTCCTTTATTGACTCCTCATTCAATGCTTCCATAAACGACTGCATTAATGCCTTTGTTGATGATTGCAAAAATGCTCTCCATTGTATCTCTATCGATGCTTTTATTGATACCTCTCAATACTCTCCTTCGACATTATCCATTGATATTCTCCATTGATACCTTCGTTCATGCTCTTCATCCATACTCTCTATTGACACATTCTATTCTCCACTGATGATCTAAATCAAAACTGTTCATTAATGTCGTTCATTAATGCTTTGCAACAATACTCTTTATCGATACCTCTATCGACACTCTCCATGGACATTTAGTATTGACACCCTCTAATGAAGCCTCTACCTATGTGTTTGTGAATGCCTGCATCAAAAACCCTCAATCAATGCCTCAAGTTGACACCCTTGGTCTACATCGCCCTTCATACATCTTGTCATCAAGAAGTCGTTGTTTATCCTTTGTTCAAGGATCTAGTCATATTGGCTTCTATGATAGGGATCTCTATGCTACATCATTGACCCAAATCATATTGCTTCAAGAATCTCATAAGCTATATTATGCTCCTTCTACAACATTCACAAATTTCAGGCAATAAATCTCTACCAACTTCATATTTAGTCACAACTATTTCTAAAATATAAGTTGACATCTTTGTCTCCATGCGTTTAATGTCGAATATTATCATATGTGCTAAACTATATTATGATGATGATAATATTTTTTATTATTGTATATAAGCGCATGTATGCTTACACTATTCATATATTTCAAGAGAGATCAATTCTATTATTCTATTATTCTTTCTCTTTCTAACAAGCTGATCAACAAATGAAAATCAATGGTGTCATGTTGACCTAATCCATCAAAGATAAGAAACATATTTTAGATCACCATAAATCAATATCAAAATTTGAATTGAAGTTGGCTTGTCTTTGATCATAAAATAAAAAAGTAAATGATTCCAACTAAGTTAAACAACATTGGAATCATTCATAATAGAAAAAAAAATATGCATGAGAAATCAGCCAAAGACATTTAATCTAATTTAAAACTTTATTACATAAATTAAGACTGAAGCCCATATGCAAAAGATGGAGGATCATACCTTCTAACGTCAAGCGCAACAAATGGAATCAAACGCTCAGAAAGAAGTTGAGCAATAATCTGCATGATAATGCAAAAATTATGGAAGAACATTTACTAAAGCTATAAGAACCAAATGTACCCCTAAACAAATGCAAAGGCAACAAAATAGCAAATAAAGTAAAAGATAAAGGGGGAATGGAGGTGTGGGGTGTGGGGTGTGGGGCTAGGTAAAGTGAGAAAACACTACCTGTCCAACTCGTCCAAAACCACATATAATGATGTGGTCTTGTAGATCATCGGTCTGGAAAAGGTACATTCTCTTATTAAATATATTAAGGCAGATCAGGCATGGAAACAAAATATAAAGGATGACTAGAGGCTACAAATGCAAATTTATCTTTAAGATTCCAAGAAAATATATTTAACATTACAGCGTACCAAAAAGATTGATATACCGAGTTTATATGTCATACAAGAATAATTTAAAAAATTATGTTCAGTCATTGTTGCCTGGATGCAAATCATATTTTTTATATCTGAAGGTATACTTATTCGAATTACTTTGAAACCAATCTAGATGATTTGATAATAGAGATTTCAAGCACAAATATGAATTTGTTTCAAAACTATTGCTACAATACTTCTTTTATTAGTCCAAAGAACATATTCATATGTCTTAAATGTCTGGTTCCTGCTTATTCCAAATTGAACAAACTAGACTTTTTCAATGAAGAACAATATTTTGTGTCTTCAAGCCTTCTCCAAATGTATGAACGATCTTTCAAAAGTCACAAACTTAACACTACAGCCAATACTAAAATGATAAAAAGAAGAAAAGATTACAAAACTTAGAAGGATAAAATATATCAATTTCTGTCCTAACAAAACCATCAATAAAAATCATTAGTATAACAATACACCAAAATGATCTCAAGGCATTCCTGCCAGAAACCTACCTCACTCTCCACTGGTAGTAAACTTCGAACATCAAGCTGCTCAAATCGAGAAGCAAGCAACTGGCCTCCAGCTGCTAACCATGGTGTAAGAGCCATTGAAATACCAACCACCAGAAATAGTATAGATGATAGTTGAGAAGACAGTATTCCCTGAATTATAAAGCAAACACACTCAAATGCCTCCAAATCTAGTGAAATAAAAACAATAGCTTCTCAACATTATATCCCATCTATTATTTCCAAATTATACTCATTATGAAACTGTATAAAAGCAAATGTAACCGACAATAAACAATAATGAAGAAGTTTCAGCTGTGTCAATTCAAAAAGCAAAGCAAATCCAAAATAAAATTAAAAGAAAAAATCCCACTCAGAAAATCTATGAACTAAAATTGGATCATAAGATTAAAGTCTAACCTGATTTACAGCATCTCCAAAAGTAACAAATGCAAATTCTCCACCAGGAGCAAGTAGAAGACCAACTCGAACAGCAGCTATAGTTGAAAGGCCAAAAATCTTACCTAGTAAAGCAACCAATATACACTTGCCACAAATTAAGAGACTCAGACTCCCAAGGATAACAGGAAAGTTGGAAAGAAGAAGCTTTGGATCAATTGACATTCCAACCTGGAAAAGCAGGTACAATATCCCAAAGTCATGAAAGAAAAGTTCTGATCAGGCATTCCTCAGAAACCAATGAAGGCAGTTAAGCAACATATTCCAAAAATAGAAACATAAAATATTTGGAGCGGTTTCTAACAAAAGAAACGGGTTAAACAGAAAAGCATTACAGTCATTAATTGAAACCTATGCGCAACAAAATTGGCAAGCAGATTAATAATAAGAACCTAGATACCATACTTTCTGCGGCGGTGAAGAAAATATTCCATCTTTTATGGTTATAGAGAAGTTTTCTTTGATATTGTCATCATTTTACCAATCCTTTAGCATTCACTCCAACAATATTTTTTAATTGGTATAACAATAACATGTAAAGGAGATTGGAAAAGACTTCCCATGCCTTATTCATTGCATATACCAGTATCAAATATGCTATGATATATTCATCTGCAGCTTAATAGCTATACTTAGTATTAAGAACTCGTGCCTATAAATCTAGTCATCATACATTTAGCAGACTACTTACAATCATTAAATTTTTTTTGTTCTTTTAATTGTAAATGTAGAAGATGGTTCAACTTGTGTCAGGCGGATGTCAAATTAGTGCACCTATCCAAAATGATGCTTTATTATTACGAAATATCGGTGCATTATAAGAGATAACTCAAAAGGAAAAAAAAAATGAAAAAAGAAATCAGCAGCCTACGGAAAAAAAAGAAAAAGCAAAGTAAATTAAAAAAAATGAGGTTTTAATTGAGTTCATGAAGACACTTTGAGAATTAACAATGAATTTATGTGTGAGTGCACGAGAGAGAGAGAGAGAGAGAGGAGCAAACAATGAAACAACCTAAAACTAATTAAAGTATTATGATGATTTGATTAGCACTTACTGTCATGAAAAATAGTCCTAAAAGGAGACCCCGGTAAGGAGCAATATCTGACTCAACCTGCAAAGAAAATTCTGTTTCTGCCAAGAGGAGACCAGCCAAAAAAGCTCCCAGTGCCATAGACAGTCCAGCCTGGTATAGGTATCACACTAGCACAGATTCAGAATTTCAAAGAAACTGATAAGAGAAAATGAAACCAGACTTACTCGAGCTGTAAGGAGACTAGTTCCAAGAATGACAAGGAGGGTATTTGCCGAAAAAATCTCTGCATTCTGATTCTCTGCAATTTGTCTATAAATTGGCCGAAGAAGCTGCCATATTATAGATGTCAAATTAACAATTACATAGATCATATGTGAAGAATTAAAAAAGTTGTTCTAAGTTCCAAAATGAAATATATATATATATATATATGTATTTTCCTAAACCCAAGGACTAAATTCTAATACAAGGAAGAAAAGAAACAGGAATGCAAGGAAAATTTCATATTTCAGTTTTTTTTTTTTTTTTTTTTTTTTTTTTCAAGGATTATAACAATAGATAGTTAAAAAATATTGGCAAGTTTATATATAAAAAAAAAAACAATTGATGGATAAATGCATTCTATCTGATGGCATTGCACAGACATTTAGAGTAGAAAATACCCAATTGAATCACAAGAACACCGCGATGAAAAAGCTGCTTGGCCTATATTCTATAAGATAAAACCATCAATGATATCTTACATCTATGTTGAGTCCAAATTTTATGCAATCAAATTACATATTCACAAGCGGTCAAGGGCATAGTTGTTCGTTCTGCTTTTATTTCAGTGAAAAAGTAAGTGAAGCAGTATTGCAAGAACTATAACCAATTCACATACACTCAGCAAATAATAGCTTCAAGCGCAGCATCCCTAGTGATCCATTGAACCATAAAAGATAGCATGCGTGCTACTTTAATACTAGAGAAATAAAAAGAAAGCCTTACCAACCGCCCCCCAGCAATTATGGCTGTTATGGCAACCATTGCCTTGACACCAGCCACTCCAAGGGCTTCTGCTATTGCCTGAAAACCAATCTGAAAGAAGCAAGATTTTGGTAAAGCTATGCATAATTTAAGAAAAAAAATAAAGCATAATTTTTAGATGAATATAACATAGATAAATCACAAAGAATTGCTGGATGAAAATTAAAAAAAAAACAACAACAAGCCTTTATACCACTAAGTGGGTTTCGCTACATGAATCCTTTATCTTTGTTGTGTCCTATTGTTATATTTTCATTTAATTCTAATAAATTAAGATCATTTTTTCAACATGCCCAAGCTTTTTTAGGTTTACCTCTACCATTCTTAACATAAGTCAAATTTAAAATATCTAGTCTCCTAGATGGGTCATTAGATGGTCAACATTTAATGTGACCAAACCATTTTAAGACAACACTCTAATCTTGTCTATGACCGGAGCTAATCCAACCCTTTCACGGATATATTTGTTTCACATTTTATCTCTAAGTGCAAAGCCACTCATCAACCTGAGCATTCTCATCTCAGCACATTAAACTTAATTTTAAGCTTCTCTTTTACAGGCCAACATTATGCACCATAAAGTATTGCAAATCTCACCACCATTTTATGAAAAGTAAAAAACACAAAATGAAATTCAAGATAACACAATGACAAGATACAATAACCTTTTGTTGAAACAAAGAACCATATAAACCCATTTTTGTAGCGCCTTGTTTGAAGCCTTGTGAATCTTGGCGAGTGATGATTTTTTCCCCTTATTTTCTCTAAAAAGTATTGCAAATCCTTTTTTAGAGAAACAGTAATGCTCTTTTCAACCAGAACTCTAACCAGAGATAACTTAGAAAGATGAGTTATAGCATCATCCACTTACAATAGTTTACCAGAAATAAATTCTACAGAGTAAAGGATGAATTGGTCAAAGTAGAGTAAATGAAGCATAAAACCCAAGCATGATTGAATATTGCTTCCTCAGATGAATCAAAGTGCAGAATATTTTAACATTTGTATTGGAGAGCCACCCATGCAGCAAGAATGCCTTGTGAAAATTCTAGTGTAAAGTGCTTATATAGATATACTTATAATGATATGACAAGAAATCAATAAACCCAACAGAGAAGTCACTAATCAAGAAAATATCTACTATAACATTACAAATAATCTTTAGAATGGGACACCATGAAGAAATTTGCCCACAATAGAAAAAGAGAGTGGACTTACTAGCTCAATAATCTTAGTATCAATGAAAATAAGCACAAACTTGCTATAAAAGTGGATGGCTGCTTGTGTTGAACTTAATTTGAATCTTGTTGAAAAAATAAAAGAAAATTGGAGGCTAAAGGACGCTAAATATCCAAAAGCACATTAGGAAAGGACCACGCTCCTAGAAAAAGTTTGGGAAGCGTGTTTGATGGAAATGAGTTGGAGGAATAGTAATAGAATGAAGTTACGGGGAACAGCGATATTTTGAGGGATAAATGATGTTCGACGGCTGTCTCAACTGAAAACAGTAAGGAAAACCATGAAACAGTGTAGCACGGATGTCGATGAGGGGTGTCAGCTGAAATTGTGGCATGGATAACTTCAGGACAGCGAACCGGAACTGATAAAAACAGTTTTCCTGCTGCGAACATCAGTTTTTTGTGAGTTGGGCAACGAAGGAGACCTAAAAAACGTCCAGGAGAGATTGCCACCTTGATACTGGCAGGCTACAAGCACATTAGCAAAAAGAAAATCAAATATACAGCATTCCATTAGATAAAACCAGGAGAAAATATCCCCAAAATACATAAAACAAGCCAAAAGTCTTCTCAAAATCGAAAATACCAAATGCATAAATAGTTCCCCCACAGAAAAACCTAATTAGAAATAAATAAAAAGGAAATAAAAGATATGCTGAAATCGAAAATCGGCGCCACTGCTCTCGAACCTAGGATCGCGGGTCTGCCATGTAGAAGGAGATTTTGGGATAGTTGATAAACTAGATGCAAAAACGGTTAATACGGAATCATCACAATGTGGGAACAATAGAGAAGAAGATAAAGGCGAAATAAAACCAAACAAAATTACAAATATTGTATGGCAATTATGGGTGGAATGCAAAATCTAACAAAAATAGTGAGGGCGACACCCTAGTTAAAGAGGCCAATGTAACGCCTCATTATTAGGAAGAGATGGACCCCCTATTCGATGTCAAACGACTTCAAAAGTTTACTGTAACGCTTTCGAGCGGAAGCAAAAGCGAGGGAAAAGTGAATCCACAGATTTCCAAGGAGCAAATTTGGAAGACGAGGCTTATAAGATGAAAAGAAGAAGATGAAGAGTGAGGGCTCATGAAGAAGGGGCTAGGGCAACAACAAGTGCTTCCGTGAGTGGGCTTGAAACCGAGTGAGACGAGGAAGTTCTCATCTCGGACAAATTGGACCTCCCTCAATAATGACAACTTATGAGGTTGATTGTATGTCTGAAAATCTTGAAATTCTTTTATCTAAGGTAGTCACGTGTCTAGTGTCGACCCCTCGAACTAATGACCCTCTTGGAGAACCAAGAATAATCCTGTTGGAGTCTCTCTCATGGGCTTAGCTTAAATCACTAGCATGTCTCCCTCATCAGCTAGAAGATGACACTATTCTCTTACCCTAGGTTTTCATCATGTTCCTCCTCCATGACACCCAGCTCGGTGAAAGGTAATATTCTCCTATTTGAGCAATTTGATGCCCAAACTCATGGCACTTGAAGGACTGCCTGACTGGGATATATTTGATAATGCAAGCGAACTCTATCTTTCCTCCACTCTGGATGGACTTCTCCTTGGGTGGTGTCTGCGTGGGTGCTCCACTAGGTATACTTTTATTACTTGATCCTAGGATTGAATTACGTCTGTAAGGTATATCGATAACCTAGTGAAGTTGTTGTCTCTCCATCTTCAAAGCTAGGGTTTGAACATCGAGTGAGGACCCATATGGCTGCAGTTGCACCACATTACTAATAGACGGCCTCAATCCTCAAAAATACCTCACTATTTTGTGCTCTTTTGGCTCCACCAACTCACATTTCAGCTTAAATTGATCAAAGTTAGCTTTATACTCCTCCACAAAAGTGTCTCTGTGGCTAGGGCTGTCAATTTGGCTCGTTGTTCGTGACAGCTCGTGTTCGGCTCGTTAAGCAGCTCATGTTCGGCTCGTTCGTTAAGCCTAACGAGCCGAACAGCCTAAGGAGCCGAACAAGAACAAATTTTCTAGCTCGAAATGTAAACGAGTCGAACACGAACAACAGTTTGTTCGCTCGTGTTCGGCTCGAAATGGCTCAAAAAAATATATATATAACTTTTTATATAATAATATATTACATATATTATTTATATAATAATATATTATATATATTTATGCTAAGTTTAAATCATAACACCTCATGTGACAATGTGGTTAGTGTATTCTTTTATATAGATTTGATTCAGGTTCGAATCTCACACTTTACGTCTATTTTTCTTAATTTTAATTTAACAAGCCAATTTCGAGCCGAACACGAGCCGAACACGAACACGAATATTTAAATTGAGCCGAACACGAACACGAACACACTGTTCACGTTCACGAGTCGAACACGAGCTATTTCGAACGAGCCGAACATGAGCCAAGCCTGAGCTCGCTCAAGCTCGGCTCGTTTACAGCCCTATCTGTGGCATAGATTTTGGAGCTTCATCAATATATCTTGAAGCAACATAGAGGAAGGTATTTGTGTTTCATCTCCCTTTCCATATTGGACTATGTAGTGATCTTACTCTTCCTTTCTCACTGTCAAAACTGCTTCAAGTTCTCCCATCATACTGAAACATTTTTTCCAAGCTTTTGACCTAAGAAACATCCTTATATTGAATATTTAACTCTTTTAACCTAAGAAACATCCTTATACTGAAAATTCACAATTCACTCCACTGTTTTAAGTCAATCGATAAACTCATCCGGATTTATGCGATCATCGAAATCTGATAGATATACCTTTACTCAAAGATCCTGACTTCTCTGACATTTCATGCTAAATATTCTGGATATTAATTCATAATCACTAGAAACTGCCTAGTGAAATGGATTCACTTCCTCCTCTCAAGCTGATGAGTCACCATTATGGCTATAAGTGACCTCATCGTACTGTGTCCCTTAGAAGTCAACAAGCCACTGTTGCAGTTGGAGAATTTTTTGTTGCCTATCCTTCATAGTAAGCTCACAGACACTTCTTTCCCGATTTCTCTTATTAGACAACATTGCTTCATTTCCTCCCGATCAGATTTCTGATGAAAGTGGGATTGTAAATCGAGGTTGATCGGAGGCTTAGGTTTTGGAGGTAGAAGTCCCAGAGTAAAACTTTGGTGGAGGTAGAAATGGCAGATTTTGAAAGTTTAGAGTTGGGGCTAGGTATTTCGGTAGAAATGAATATGAATGGTGAACTTTTTTTTTTTTAGGGAGGGACAAAAAAAGACAAGTCTCTAAAAATCTAGGATTTGTCGAGCTCTTATACAAGATGATACTGTTCTAGGGCGTTCACAAAGATATTTAGGAAACAGGTTTTCAGGGAGGTGGTTGAGGAATGACTCAGGAAAGGTAATATGCAAGATTGACAACATTTTGAAGTGACTGCATGGATGAAGTTGTTGGATAGTAGATTTAACATCGTTGGCGGCTGTCTCGACAACAAAAAACAAAGAAAACTCTTAATCGACAACATTCGAACAGCGAGGAGGTTCAACCATCTGTTCCTGGGCAAAGCTACAGACACACCACTTACAATGAGAACATGATACATCACTTCAAAGAGCATAACTCAGAAAAAGTCTCTCAACTTCATAAAATCAACAAAACCGAAAATTCAAAACCCTAATACAACATATATAAAAGTCTCACTATAGAAATAGCCTAACAGAAAATAAACAAATGGTAAAAAAAGAATAAGAAAATTAAAAAAAAATGAAATAAACCAAAAAGGAATAAAATAAGGTTGGAATAAGAAACCGAGAGTCCCTGTTCGATCACACGCGATCGCGAATGGACCCGTGATCCCGCATTTAGCTAAACTAATGCTTAGTGTCACTATGACTCAAAAATGTCCATTATGGGAGAAATGGAATCCTAGTCAACCCTCTGGGTTGCTCTCCCCTCTCCAGGCATCCTCTCCTCCTAAATGAATCAAGGCCAACCTTGACAGAGCATTTTCACATGTGAGCCATGGATGCAAGAATGTAATGGTATTATAATTGAAGGTGATTATTGCAATATCATACAATTTCTACAAACTACTATGGACCGAAAACTTTGACAAAGCTGCCCCAAAACCGCCCCAAACTTAGCATTTTCACCTCTTTTAGATAAGTTTTGTTTCGTTACATACATATAGAATGTAACAAGAAAGCTCATTTTTGTGTTCAACTGCCTTACAAGATAGTTTTGTTTGAAAGCATGTTGATGAGAATAGTGATCTTTCTGCTATTCTCATTGATGATAGGTCTCATTTTGTATCCAGATAGCTGCATACTTGCACATTTTTATAACTATTGCTAAGTTAATGAAATGCACACTTTCAAGTATTAGGTTTTTTTCACCTTTCAATCTCCCAAAAGGTTTTTTGATTTGCATAAAAGCTGTTTATAATCGTCTTTGGTACCAATTACTTCGCAATTGTTCACCTTTCAATCTCCCAAAAAGTTTTTTGCTTTGCATCAAAGCTGTTTATAATTGTCTTTGGAACAAATTACTTTCGCAATTGTTCTAAGTTAGCTTTCAGCATACTACTTGTGTAAGCTTCTAAAAAATTTAATCAATATGTTAGTCTTGTATGGTAGAGAATCTTTCTGTGCATGAAGCATTAGATTTCAATGCATGCTGCATAAAAAGTGCTCAAAAAACATAAACTACACAAGATTACAGAAAAATGTATTTTGTTTGGAAACAAAGAATTATGATCAGAGCATACCCCTCCTTTGGAAGAATTGGGTGAAATAAGAGGTATCAGTATTAGTAAAACAACCACAGCCAAGTCCTGCAAAAAGCTTGCAAAAATAGTCAATGAAAACCACTTAGATCTATATGAAGTACTAAATAAACATTAGTAAGGAAAAAAAAAAAAAGAGGGAAAGAGGGAACGCATAACGTTGTACTTCTCTTCTAAAGACAAATATTGCAACAATGTACTAAAATAAAACTCATCATACTTTTCCTATTTCCGTAATTCCGCACAGACAAGATGTCATCATAAAAAATGAGATATCTATTAAAACAGAATTCTGGAAATTGTGAAAGTCAAAATTTGCAATGGTTTTTTCGCTTGGTATAACCGTGATAATCACAATACCCTACATTTTGTGGTGGCAGCTTCCTGTAATGACATAAGAATAATTAACATTTTCATCACTAAATGAAATGCATACCTGAAAAAGCAAAACGGAAAATGTAGCACGACCATGTCGTGATGTGCTCTCTCCTCTTTCTTGGAGCACCTGTTAAAGTATGAGCACCTATTGGTAAGTTCAAATTTTCTTTGAGGTATTTGTCCTGATATAAGCAAGACATTTACTTTAATAAAACCAACTAGCTCCAAACAGGCAAATCAGTATCTGAATTGGGTAGCACAAATAACAAAGAAGACGAGAATACACCACTAACTGATGAATGATTCCCTATGTTTTCCATGAATTTGAGCTCTCTACAAAGAATATAACTGAAAGGACATGTTAAAAAGAAAAGTGAAGATAAATAGGTCATTTTTGACGATACTGTTGTGATCAGTCAGTGTCTCCTAGTATTACTACTGACATATGAAAATATTACTCGTGTAATGTGACCATGATTCACATGCATATGATGGTAAGTCCTATATAAATAGGTCATTTTCTCCCGAACAGGTCTCCTTCAATTGTCTCTTTGATGGCAAGGTTGGAGTTGGAGTTGGTGTTGGGGTTTGGGTTTGGGTTTGGGTTTGGGTAGGTGGAAAATGGTGTATAGGGATGATGTAGGGTGGGAAAGGAAATTTTTGGGTGGCAGCAGCGAGCGGGACTAACGGCGACAGCAACAGGAAATGGGTGGAACGACGGGACAGCAAAAGGAGAGTTGTCCCAGGCTACGGCAGTGAGGAGTATGGTTCGACAAGGGGAACTACAAGAAGAAAAGTAAAATGGTTGTTGTCGGGGCGGCTGCAGCGAGGAGGGGTGCATGGTAGCAAAGCGGGAGGGATGCAGAGAAGTTGGGGAATGATGCCACCTCAGAAGTGAGATACAACCACAACACTACTCGACCCTTGGCGGAGAATCATCGCCTCGAAACGAAATATAGTCGGAGCACCACTCACCCTTGGATACAGTCCAAAACGGGAAAACAAGGGATCCTAACAGCTATCCTGAAAAAAACTCTATAAAAAACTGATCTAGTACACGAAAACAACATACTTATAGACATAGAGTAAAGAGGAGTGAACCCCGCTCCAAATAGGATGCAAGCCCATGCCTAGAACGACTGGTCAGTCCCTCATTTGCTAGACTGAAACGGTCCGGGGCGCAGGAAGCCACAGCAATTGCCACGTAGGGCGCTGTATGTCAGGTTGTACTTCAGGACAAAAAAAATCTAAAGTTTAAAGGCTCTTATACCAAATAACACCAATCTAGGGTTTGACAGTATGTAAAAATCAATGGAAGGGTTAGGATGATTGTAAGATGATAGTTGATGAAAAAATACCTGAAATGAAGGGGTGTTTAGGAAGGAGTAGAAAAATTACAGCAGCTGTCTTGGGCGAAAAATAGCCAAGGGAAAGGTTGACCGCCCAGAAGGTCCACTTGCCTATCTTCGATCAACCTACAGTCACACCAATTAAAAGAGACGATGGTATGACACTCCAAGAAGACAGAAAAACAGTGTGCTGGCCGGTCTGATGGATTGGGAAACCCCGAACCAAACTGGTTCAGGTCTCCTAAAATTGTCCCGGGACAGACGCCCCGGGTTCGCTCCCACTGGAGTGAGTGATATCTTTCCCACATCACTGTTCTTGTCCACAAATTAAAACATCTAGCTGCATGCTCTTCAGGGATAAACAGTTTATTGTTCAACAAAACTTGAAAACTTTGAGCAATATTTAGACTTGGACTGAACAATTCCCAATTAAGGACACTATTTTATAAGCATAATTTGAGGGAAAAAAAAAAGAGAAAAAAAAATTGGAGCAAGAATATTGTAGTTTGAATGACATGTTCATAGGCTGCTGAGCCTTCCTTTAGAAATCTAAGCAACATAATCATGTCATACGGGCAGATGTTTGAACATGTTAGTATATACTAGGCTCAAGGAAACAAGTAAACTCCACCTGTAAGACTACTGCGGTGGATGACAAAGCTAGACCATTACCAATAACAATTGCTGCAGGGCCTGGAAGCCGAGTAAAAAAATGGGCAGCCAAGCCAAATGCAACTGCAGTCACCAGAACCTAAAAATGACCAATAAAAAGTAGAAAACATAAAAATACGACCTCCCGTCAAAAACTAATAAGATGAGGAAGCTTCATATCACCTGAGCAGAGCCTAACCCAAAAACATACTTCTTCATTGAACTTAACCTTTCCACAGAAAGCTGCAAAGCAAGAAGTACATGTTTTACAGGTTTCTCCACAAACAATTTCTCAAGAAAGAAAAATTCAAAAATGCTACCCATTTTTTTAGAATTTGAATTAAATACTAAAGAAGGCCACCTCAAGTCCAATATTAAAGAGCAGAAAAACAACTCCAAATTCAGCAATGGCCTTTGTCCCATGAACATGACGGATAATAGACAGTCCATAAGGACCAATAAGAATACCAGCAGCCAGGTATCCAAGTACAGGACTACCTGAAATAGGTCAAGCGCCTTAGCTGAATGAATAAAGCAGATTTTTTTTAACTTAAGTGCAAAATAATTGAAAGAATAAGTCAGAAGAAATTTTGAAGTAACTAGAAAAGGTATTGCAGCCAATACCTAGCAGCTCATCAAGCTTGGAAAGTAAGACTTGAAGATCACACGGAGCATTCAAATTGAATAAATAAATAAATAAATCACATTGAAACCACCCATCCTCATCCTTAGCTATACAAGCCAACTATTTTGAGTCAGCTTATATTGAAACATGTGAATAACATAAAGATAACCAATACAAAATTATAACTGTGAAGAACGAAGAAATGCATTACTTGCATCAAGTTACAAATCCAAAAATGTTCTTGAAAAGTGCAATAATTTTTAGTGAAAGAGTGAAACGTTATTCACAGCAAATCATCAAACTGTGCTTGGATGTGAGAAGACCTGACAAAAATCACCCTTAACTTTTATACAGGCATGCCACTCATCGAGTATTTTACCCAATAAACTGTAGCTTACTGCCCCAGAAAAGTATCTCATAAAGGAAGGTCAACAACAGGGGACTTTCAAATATAAATGGGGTGCAGTGCACCGTGCATGGTAATTTTACATGGAAATCATGAATTGGTGACAAACGGTAACTGGTAAGCATCTTTATCCATATGGTGGCATCGGGCTCATAAAAAAAGAAGAAACCACTATATAAAGAAGAGCACTGTGTATAAAAAATGTTTCTTTCATTGGAATAAACATGTGGCCCTAAATCATTTATGAAAAAAGAGGTTCATGTGCGAACTCCCCCGCATATTTGCGGGATCGGAAACCCCGCACAATCGTGGCATCCCGTAATTCCGCAGAGTCGGGATTCTCAACCGTAGCAGAAAGGCTGAACGACCTGTTTCGTCCAGATTCTGTTTCAGCCCTGATTTTCTTCCTTTTTGATTTATTTCCGATTCCAAAATTTTGTTTTCTTTATTTCTTATTTTTCATATTTATAATTAAGATTTTACTTGGGAGACTATTTATATGTTGTTATTTTCTGTTTTGAGGTGACTTTTGATTGGATTTATGTTATTTGAAGATATTATCTCTGATGGAGTGTGTATCATATTCCAGTTGCAAATGGTGTGTATGTATCTTTCGTAGGAACAAGCGGCAGAGACTCCTCGCCACCCTAGCATCATTGATTTGGAGTTTTCTCCGCTGATTTCAGTGAAGACAGTCGCTGCTCAACGTTTATCTCTACCGATCGACACCTAACTCCGACCAACGCCATCAAACCCTTATATTTCGTTCACTCACTATTCCATAACCACCTCCCCTCAAATCCCATTTTCTAATATCTTTTAGGAGCCCCAAAGAAAGATCACATGTGTATGTCAAAACCAACAAAGGTAAACCCATCGGATTCCACCAACTCCTTCTGAATTCCCAGGGATTTCCAGCTAGCTCAAATAATCCTGATAATCCTACCATCGGTTACATTTTTTAGCACAGAAATGCACAAAACTTAGTAATTGCAAAGCCTTAGCAACAAGAAATATACTTCTCTCTCTTTCTATCTATCACTAAAATAGCCGATGACTCCACATCAATTTTTCAACAAGCACAACCACAAATAAAATTTTAGCATGAACCTTACCCGTAGCCACTTTCACATCCGCTTTCACAGGGAGAAATTGATTTCTTCCACAATTGATGATTGTAGATCAATCTAATAAATATAAAATAATTACAAGTTGGGATTGCAGCGCAAGCAATTCTAATATAAGTGGATTTGCATCACAGCAAGGAAACTACGCGATCAATATTATTTGTTGTTAGGATCTAAAGCCAACTTGAGATTTGGATTTGATCGGAACCCCAAAAAGTTCAATCACGGATGATGGATTCTTTAAGTTTTCGGTTGTTGAGGTATGAAGTGGTGTAGGTTTGGAGGTGGGGGGATAGACAGAAAGACGTTGGCGGCTGGTGGAGGGAAGCTCGGGTGGTTGAAGGAGAGGTGCTAAAGGAGGGAAGCTGCAGGGTGGTTGGTGGTTGGGATCAGGTGGCGTGGGAGAGAGCAAGCGGACCAGCGTCTGGGAGTAAGGTAGAAGGCGATAGGTAGGAGGTTAGGCGACCAGTTCTGGAAAAGGCGGAAGGGAGACTAGCCGGCGGCTAATACAAGGGAGGGACGCTGGCGACATGAGGTAGGAGGGTGAGTGTCAACTCGAAGATAGGGATCAAAGGGATGGGAGGTAAATGTCGTCACCATCTCGGAGCAGGATACAACTAAAGCACCACCTATCATCGGATATAGCCCTAGCAAGGGAAAAGAGAGCCTAGAGACAGAAATTTGAAATCAGAAAAACCAATATTGAACCTTAAACTCAGCAACACATATACTTATAACGACAGATAGGCGGGAAAGGAAAAAGGAGGGCAATTTCCTCCCAAAGGAAAGGAGTCGGTTGGTCCAGCCTCCTGCTGGACCGTGACTCCTATTGGACCCGAACCCTTGGCCAGTATAGCCCAGTAATCCACTGCATCATCAAAGTTCCCTCAATCCCGAGAGACTGATGTGGAGCATCAAATTTACCTAGACCGATTATGTCCAAGGTTATTGAGCCCTCTAGTCTTGGGAGTGTCGCCACTTTTTAAGCATATATTTGCTTTTGTTGGTGTTTAGGGTTCGATTTTTCTATAATTTGCTTTGAGACAGTCATTGGCACTCCTCCCTCTACAGGTCGTATTCTAGAGTTTCAAGTGGTACTCCGATTGTATATTGGTCTCCAGGGGATGTTTATCTTTCTGATACATTTCCCCCATCCTTTCCCGCATCGCTCCCACATCCCCTTCATTGTTTCCCTGCTTTTTCCGCCTAGAAAATATGTTTTTTTTTTTTTTTTTTTTTTTTTTTTTTTTTTTTTTTTTTTTTTTTTTTTTTGTGTGTCCACCCTGCCATCGCCACCCAGTGACAGCAGTTGTCTTGTTGTCCTCACCTTTCAGCTTGCTAGTTGCCTCCTTGCAATCACCCCGAAGATCCATAGCCATAACCGCTACCTCCTGCAACCTATTCTTAGTACTTACCATTATTATTTTCTTTCAGTTTATTGTATGTTCAATTTCTAGCTTCTATAAAATTACTAGTGGTTTTGTTGTGTTTCTCCTCACCTTATTTCTATAGTAAATTCAGTATCATTTTATTTCATCACTCACATGTCCTAAACATTGGGTGGTAATGAAGCATTTGATTGGGCAGTATACCTCCTTCAAATAGTGCAACTGATGCTCCACAACTCTCTTTTGGGGAAAGCCTTCACTGTTTATTTAATAATGCAACAACAGTAAAAATTGGTCATAAGTTCTTGAGGATTTGGCCTAAAAAATCAAGAATTTATCACTCTTTTTGCCAAACGTGCTACATTGAACCATCCAAAAAGAGGAAATAGTCCAAGAAAATGCTACCAACAACTCTCCAAATCAGAAATTAGTAATAACTTTCCAATTTCATTATACATCTTACCTAGACCAATATATTAGCTTTTCACATCTTCTTTAGAACTCAAACTTCAGTTTTTTGGATTATTCATAATAAGCATCATTATCTTCACCACCCTTTTGAAGCACGTCTTTTTTTATTAAACTTTTTTACTTCCTCAGTCCACCACCAGATCTTCTTACCAACGCAAGATCATTTTTGTAGAATGCCCTAAAATTTTAAGGTATTCTTACTGATAAACTAGCCATCTTATTCTAAAATTTGGTTCAACTAAAAAAAACTCCAATTTGCTTGTGCAAGTAACCTATCTAGAAAGATTGACAACTCAGCCTTAAATGGTTCAGCTAATACAATGAACAACCAGCTACAAGAATCAATATAAGCAATGAAGAATTAAAAAATAAACCAAAAGAAAATGATAAAGGATGCCACAAGAAATATACGTGAAATTACTCGTTCCAAATATTGATCAAGCCCCTATAAGCCAAATAAATAAACCCTTCCACGGTTTATATAGTTTAATTTCTTTAAGTCATGATTCAAGTTCGAAGAGTAAAAAACTACGAGAAGATATTCCAGGGTAATCATAAAAATCTAATAAGAGCAGAGTCCTGAAATGTATTTCACTTTATTTTCAAACTGATATGGGGCACATCTGCATTTATCATACAACAACAAGCGCATTGAATAGGTAGCCATGTAAGAATGGCAAGATATATCACAAATTAGAAATCAAACCATAGAAACAAGTGTATATCAATCGAAAAAAAACATTAATCATTAAACAAATAAAGAAGAATAATTAAAGAATTTACATAGTCGCAAATAAAAATATAAATATAAGAAAACAATTGTATTCGCTTACCACCAGGAATCTTTTGGAATATAGGAACAAAAATTACACTGGCTAACAACAGCCATAGCATATCAAAAAGGGAAGCTTCTTCCTCCTTTATCTAGCAAAATAAGAAGTAATTGTCAGACTTTTATCCATAAAAATGAAGTGCTATCGATAGAATTATTTTTAAAGCAAAATAGATCTTTTTACAGAAAACAGCATGGAATGAACAACAACTGGAGCCATTTCATATAGTCCTTGACATAACATTCAATAATTTTCATCAAAGTCTTGAATTTCTAACCAAATCTTGCAGGTTTTGCAAACAGTAATTACCAGAAATCTTTCCAAACAGAAGAAAGAAAGAAAGAAAGAAATCTAAAATATCATCTATCTCGTCAGTAATCAACACAAATCCTTCAAACAAAAGAACAAGTTTAATCAAAAGGATATATCATCTACCTCTTGCTGTGGTAAAAGCGCAATAAGCTTTTTCAATCTTTTAGGGAACCTCCTTATCTCCTGAACCAAAGGTTCTGCAGTTGAGGTTACTTCTTCAATACTAGTTACTAAATCTGGCTGTTGAAGCAGCTGATAATTTTTTTCTGCTCGAGTACTCAAAAGAACAGTCCTGAGCCAAACAAATGAAAAGAAAAACAGATAACTATGTCAGAAACTTATGTTGAATCCAACACTAAAGAACATGAAGACAACCGACAAGAAAGTATTGCTGAATACAAATATAACACACCCAAGTCCAAGAAGCAAAGTCCCGAGAACTAGGTTTGGTGCTTGTTTCTTAGCAAACATGGCTAGCCCTTGGATAACAGTTGAAGGAGTGAATTCTTTGCCTTCTACTTTAAAAGAGAAAAAAGATGCAGAAAAAAAACGAGAAGATTTTTTTAATAATCCTTTTGGAACATTTAAAGTTGAATCCTTGGTTAGATCTTTTGACTGAAGTTCCTGCTTCTTTCCTTTCTTTGTATCGTCCTCAGATTCTTTGTCAGGAAATGAACTCGGCATGCCATTCATCTGATCAGAGCTTTGTGCCGACCCCACAATCAGCTCAGCCACATCACTAGCAGGTGACACTCCAATGTCTCTTACTACAGTTAAGCCATCAGCAACAGCTGAACTAGTCTTCTCTGCATCGTGGTCCACTTCCTCAATTAGCTGTTCTTGGGAAGGTTGTTCCAGCAGATCAGCTGAAAAGGCAACCTTCTCTACTTTCTGCAATGCAAGCTCTGCATCATTCACATGTTGTGTCACCTCCAATTCAAAAGCAACTGCTTGCTCTGCCAGGAGCATTATGTTGGCAACATCCTCCTCTGCCTTCAAGGCATTCAGCTGAGTCTTCTCAGCAATTTCACTCAACCTGTCTACTTCCTTCTGCAGCTCCTCCTTTTTTGTTTGGATTCTCTTCAACTCGGCTTCATAGTTATCCAAACGAGCCTTACAATCTTTAATCTCCTCCTGGGCAGAAAGAAGGTCCTGCTCCACTTCGCTCTGCATAGAAGGCTCCGCCGAGACTGATATCTCTTCTGTGGGATCCAATAATCCTGTTGCCAGCCTTAGCCTAGCCTCGGCCATTGAAAGGGCCATAGTGGCCTTCTGGACAGCTTCTTTTGCCGTAGTCTCTTCATTAATTATCTCCTGAATCATAGTAACAGCAGAAGTAACATCTCTCCAAGCACTTTCTGCTTCATCTTTTAACGCGAATGCAAATTCAGATGTATTCTGAGCCTTCTGCTCAAACATGATACTGTTAAGCCTGGCAACTTCAAGCTCCTTCATAGCCTTCTGAAGCATTTCTCTTAAATCCTCCAACTGATTGTCACCCTTTACATTATCCACCGAACCATTAGTTTCTGTAACAGAAATTGATGCTACTTCTGTGCCCTCAGCCAAAGGATCAGATTTTGACATCTTAGGACTTTCAGTAAGATCCTGACCTTCCCCATCAACATATGCCAAAGAGTCATTTCTCTGACACTGCAACCACACAGCTTCCTTCCAATGTTTTCTGCAATTGCATGAACTGTCAGCCAGAGAACGCCGCCTCACATGCAAATGAGGAAAAAGAACTCGACAAACTGAACGCTGCGAGCCGCAGTGGCTAGCACTTACAGCGTGGTTTCTCCTCTTTGCTGAACGTAATCGACAGAAAACCCTATAATCTCCAGCAACACTACAATCCCTAGCACCCGACTTAAATCCTGTACTTCTTATGCCAGAACCCGGATAAACGCCATAATAGGCGACGCCAGAGTGCCAAAAACCACAAGCAACATCCATCTTCTTCTCTTCAAGAAGTTAAAACTAACACAATCACCACAGCCGATTCAATAAAAATCGAAATCTTCAGTGAAAATATATGCAATAAGAACAACCAGAATTCAGCGAAGCGGAAAGTACGTTACCAATCATGCAAACAAGGAAAATAGAATCCAACAGAGTAATGAACGCACAGCAGCAAAGCTTACCTCATCAATTCAAGATAAATGGCTACACCTCTCAAAAACCCTAGAACTTCAGTCACAGAAAAAGCGGCAGTGAGGATATAGTTGGAGAAAAGATAGGGGGCGTCAGTCCGAGCTGAAGGAGTGATACTAAGGATTCCGGCGTTACCTACGAGACCTTCGATAGTGGTTAGTGAAGAAATCAAGCGCTCGGACTTCGAAGCGAAGCATTGAAGAAGGCGAGCATCGCAGAGGTTGTTTTCTGGATCCGTGCTGTGCGTCGGGAAAGTGAAGTGTCACGCAGGACTGGTGATCGGTGCCTGGGATGGAAAGACGCTACTTTGAGTGTGCTGGTTTCGTTTAAGAGAGGCGAGAAAAGCCTGCGGCAAATCTTACTTATAGCAATATCACATAAGAAATTAACGTTTTAATTGGAATACCATTCCGAGGTCTTTATATATATATATATATATATAT